CCATTAATGTTTGATAAACAGCGTGTTGTCTGGGTTTAGATTTACAAACAATAACTATTCATTTCTATAATTCCATACTCCACGTAGTAGCTTCCCTTGATTTTCTTTTCTTCTAATAATATTCTCTTTTATCAACCTTAAATTAGTCCATTTCTTAATAATTTTAGTAGATAACAATTGAATATAGGCATTTTTGTAGTATTTCTACAAGTAACAACACATCAATATGAAGCTTCTTTTCTAATTAATAGAATAGAATGGCATGGCATGGCATGGCATGGCATGGAATAGAGCTGGAAGGAACCTTGGAGGTCATCTAGTCCATCCCCCTGCTGAAGCAGGAGAACCTATACCGTCTAAGACAGGTGGTTGTCTAGTCTCTTCTTAAAAACCTCCAGTGATGGAGCGCCCACGATTTCTGGAGGCAAGCTGTTCCACTGGTTGATTGTCCTCACTGTCAGGAAGTTTCTCCTTAATTCCAGGTTGCTTCTCTCTTTGATCAGTTTCCAACTATTGTTTCTCATCCTGCCCTCTGGTGCTTTGGAGAATAACGTGACCCCTTCTTCTTTGTGGCAGCCCTCAGATACTGGAATACCGCTATCATGTCTCCCCTATTTCTTCTTTTCTTTAGACTAGCCAAACCCAAGTCCCGCAACCGTTCTTTGTATCTTTTAGTCTCCAGGCCTTGGATCAGATTACACGGTGTCCCAAAGCCCTGAGAAAAATTGAAACCCACCGTCTCGGGGCCTTCTTTACGGTGGCACCTTGGCATGGATATCAGCTTCTCTTGCAGGCCGGGCTGCCGTTTGCATTTTTGATGTTTTTATTTCTATCCCGCCTTTATCATTTGAGAGCTGGCTTTTTACGGTCCTATTTGCGGCTTTGCCTCCACCTCCACCAATGTTGCTGCTGGTTATTCTTCCTGTGTTACGATTTGTTTAAAAATTGTTCTCTCTCTCGCTGTTTTATTTGGCTTGGCTGCTTAGTCCAGCTTGTTTTTATGGAGTGCTGCTTCCATGAGTTCATCTGGGTGAGTGGGTGGGCTGCCGCTTTTGGAACCAAATAAATAAATAAGAAAAAAGGAGACCGCTGGGTGGTCAAGCCTACTATGTTTTATATCCCCGGCGAGGGTGATTAAAAAAGACAGGAAGGCCCCTTCTTCCACCTTGGAGCAATGTGCTTTGGAGTAGAGAGTCCTTGATTTATCACCACAAGGGAGCCCAGAAATTTTCCTGTTAAGCAAGGCAGTTGTTAAGTGAGTTTTGCCCCATTTTACAACTTTTTCTGGCCACGGTTGTTACTACTATGGTGGCGCAGTGGTTAGAATGTGGTATTGCAGGCTGACTCTGCCCACTGCCAGGAGTTCGATCCTGACCGGCTGAAGGTTGACTCAGCCTTCCATCCTTCTGAAATCGGTAAAATGAGGACCGAGATTGTTGGGGGCAAAATGCTGACTCTGTAAACCGCTTAGAGAGGGCTATAAAGCACTGTGAAATGGTATATAAGTGCTATTCTATTCTATTCTATTCTATTCTATTCTATTCTATTCTATTCTATTCTATTCTATTCTATTCTATTCTATTCATATTATTTCATTCTGTTCCATTTCGTTCCGTTCTGTTCTGTTCTATTCTTGCCATGGTGGTGCAGTGGTTAGGATGCAATATTGCAGACTAACTCTTCCCACTGCCAGGAGTTCGATCCTGACCTGCTCAAGGTTGACTCAGCCTTTCGCCTTCTGAAGTCAGTAAAATGAGGACCCAGATTGTTGGGGGCAAATATGCTGATCCTGTAAACTGCTAAGAGAGGGCTGTGAAGCACTGTGAAGAGGTACATACTGTAAGTGTTATTCTATCCCATCCCACCCCGTCCCATCCCGTCCCGTTCTGTTCTGTTCTGTTCTATTCCATTCCATTCCATTCTATTCCATTCCATATTTTCTATTCTATTCCATTCCATTCCATATTTTCTATTCCATTCCATTCTATTCTATTCTATTCTATTCTATTCTATTCTATTCTATTCTATTCTATTCTATTCTATTCTATTCTATTCTATTCTATTCCATATATTCTATTCTATTCTATTCTATTCTATTCTATTCTATTCTATTCTATTCTATTCTATTCTATTCTTACCCTGGTGGCGCAGTGGTTAGGATGCAGTATTGCAGGCTAACTCACTACTCGCTGTCAGCAGTTCGATCCTGGCCAGCTCAAGGCTGACTCAGCCTTCCCTCCTTCCGAGATTGGTAAAATAAGAACCCAGATTGTTGGGGGAAATATACTGACTCTGTAAATTCCTTAGTGAGGGCTGTAAAGCACTGTGAAGTGGTATATAAGCCTATGTGCTATTGCTACCTTGCCACTACCTGTAAATACACTGTGACAAGGTGTGGTTTTCCCCTCCCAATAAAATGGTCTCCAAATCATACAAAATGTCTACCCCATCCAGTTACGCTTTCGGTAAGAGGCTCTGCTGGTTTTGCTATTCTGCCAAGAGAAATTAGAGTTTTGTTCTTCCCTTGACTACAGGTGATTTTGAACCGAGCCCCAAATTTCCCTTGCTAAGCAAGACAATCATTAAGAGAGCTTTGCCCCATTTTATCACCTTTCTTGCCACAATTGCTAAGCGAATCATGCGGTTGCTAAGTTAGTTGCACAGTTGTCAAATGCAGCTGACTTCCCCACTGACTTTGCTTGTCATAAAGTCACAAAAGGTGACTTTCACATGACCCCCGGGACACTGCAACTGTCACAAGTACGAGTCGGTTGCCAAGCATCTGAATTTTGATCGCATGACGATGGAGAGGCTGCAACGGTTGTTAAGCGTGAAAAACCGTCATAAGTCACTTTATTTCAGGGCTGTTTGAAGGATCACTCAGGGGATGGCTGTAAGTCAAGGACTGTGGTACAATTGGGTTGTGAGCCAAGAATTCTTTTTGGTGGGCTCAGATTTTAATTCACTTCCTTCCTTTATTTCCAAAAGGGAAACCCTGGGAAATTGACTGTCATGGTTCTGACAGATGAAACTCTTCAAAGAACTTCCAGGCATTGTTTATCTTAAATAATCTTTATTCGAGTAGCATAGCATCAGCATGTACATAGGCAAAGCCAAAATCTGAATTCCCCTTCCCTGAGCACATAGTATCAAAACACAATTCCCTCTTCTAATTAACTGTCATAAATCACATTCTCCAATTAGTTTGAAATGCAGGCTTCCCTCCAGTTCTCCAACCCGCCATTTCTTATCATCTCTTATTTCAAACAACCTTGATTCTCACACTGTTCTAATATTGTTATGTCTAACTAACTCCCATGCACATTCCTCCCCCCCCAGTATCATCTAATTCTAAGAGTAAAACATAAGAAGGAAAATGGCTGCACATCTCCATATGATGTTAGCAGCATTGAGATTGACATGAGTATCTTCCATGGATGGAGAGAACTTCCCTGTCCATCAAAACATGGGCAACCAAAGTTAAGATGGCAAACAATAGGATAATTCAGGGGTCCCCAACCTCACTACTGTGGCTAGCTGGAGCATGCACATGTGCAGGTCAACATCCATGAGCAGCGGGCTGGCGGGCACTCACATGCACGAGCGCTGGCCTGTCACTCATGGAAGGGCTGTGTGCGAGCAAGCGCCAGCCCACTGCTAGTGTGGCCCAGTTCCCCTCTCCACCCACCAGCCAGACCCCCAGGCCTCAAAGGTTGGAGACCACTGGGATTATTCATAGGAAGGTTCAAAGGAGTGAAGATGGTGGATGTGTGCAGATAGTCCTTAGCTTATGACCGTAATTAGTACCAGAATCGTGTGGTTGTTAAGTGAATCATTGCAGTTGTTAAATGAATCATGTGGCTGTTAAGTGAATCACATTAGTTAAGGGAATCACATACTTGTTAATTGACTCATTGCAGCTGTTAAGCGAATCACATGGTTGTTAAGTGAATCACTTCAGTTGTTAAGTGAATCACGATTGTTAAGCAAATCTCTGCATTTGTGAAATGAATCGTGGCTGTTAAGTGAATCACATTAGTTAAGTGAATCAGATGGTTGTTAATCGAATGACTGCAGTTGTTAAGTGAATCATGTGACTGTTAAGCGAATCACGTGGTTGTTAAGCGAATCATTGCATTTGTTAATCATGTGGCTGTTAAGTGAATCACGTGGTTGTTAAATGAATCCCTGCAGTTGTTAAATAAATCCTATGGCTGTCAAGTGAATCACATTAGTTAAGTGAATCTGATGGTTGTTAATTGAATCACTTCAGTTGTTAAATGAATCATGTGGCTAAATAAATCATATGGTTGTTAAGTGAATCCCTGCAGTTATTAAGTTGTTCATTGAATTACTGCAACTGTTAAATGAATCATGTGGCCGTTAAGTGAATCACATGGTTGTTAAGCGAATCATTGTTAATTGAATCCATCTTCCCCCCCCCCCTTGACTTTGCATGTCGGAATCTCCCTGGGAAGGTTGCAAATGGAGATCAGGCAGGCAAAAGGCAGGTTGGTTGCCAACCACCTGGAGTTTGATCCTGTGACCCTGGGGATGGAGTGGTCGTAAGTCACTTTTACCAGTGCCATTGTAACTTCGAACGGTTGCTAAACAAATGGTTGTAAGTTAAGGACTGCTACACCTGTTTTGTGGAAGCCCCGCCTCTCCCTCCCATTGCATTGCAGAGTAAGAGAGGAAGGCTGAAATCTCACAGGTACAGCCACCAGCTTAGCTTTTTGGAGCCTGTCTTAGCCATTCTGGGGGTGGGTGAGGGAACACAGCAATTTACTGTAAATACTAAATCTTTGTTGATGAAATCTGTGTCCAGATTTCGGGGGGGGGGTCTGCCCTTGCAAAAAAAAGGAAAGTGATCGAGGGCAAAAGGTTGACTGACTTCACTTTGGAGGCAAGGAAACCCCAATTCTGTAGAATCTCTTTTTCCTGGGAGGAACCTGGCCTACAGCAAACCGGTTAATTTCTGTTGGCTTGCTCACTTTCAGGAGATGCTCCAGGAGAAAAGCTTGTCGGACGTGGAGGATGGGTTTGTGGTGCCTCAGGGCCCTGCCCATGCTGAAACCACGGGAGGGTCTCCAGTACTTGGGGTCGCAGGAGTCAGCAGCACACCCCTGAACAGTCCTCAGGTCCCAGATGCGGAACAGGTAAGCATTTAGCACATGAAACAGTTTTCAGATATATCTCAAGCTTGGCAACTTTAAAGAATGTGGACTTCAACTCCCAGAATTCTCTAGCCAGCCCTCAAGCTAGAAGGCCACGCTAGGCTGTGTTTCTCAAACCTGGCAACTTTAAGATGTATGGACTTCAACTCCCAGAATTCTCTAGCCAGCCCTCAAGCTAGAAGGCCACACTAGGCCTGTGTTTCTCAAACCTGGCAACTTTAAGATGTGTGGACTTTAACTCCCAGAATTCCGTAGCCAGCCATCACACTAGAAGACTACACCAGGCCAGTGTTTCTCAAACCTGGCAACTTTAAGACATCTGGATTTCAACTCCGAGAATTCCCCAGCAAAAATTTTGGAAGTTGGAGTCTACACATGTTAAAGTTTCTGGCTGGGGAACTCTGGGAGTTGAAGTCCACATGTCTTAAAGTCGCCAAGTTTGTGAAACTTGGCCACCGGACTGACCTAGTACTTCAGAATCCAGAAATGGGGAGAAGCAGTGTTAAAATTGCAAATAAGATCTAATTCATTTGCTGGGAAATTACTTGGTCAATCACCAGATCTCCCGGAGGAGACATTTTCTGAGGAAAAACTTTGGTGGCTGGGAGATGGCTTTGGTCTGGTGGTCAAGTTCCTGCTTGTAGACCAGGGGTCTTCAAACTCGGCCCTTTTATGACTCATGGACTTCAACTCCCAGAATTCATCAGCCAGGCACTGCTGAGGAATTCTGGGAGCTGAAGTCCATGACTCATAAAAGGGCCGAATTTGAAGACCCCTGTCGTAGACAAAGTAATTTCTATGTTCCACAGTTCCATAGTTGAATTGGTGACAAACGCCAATAAAAATGATCAAGTTACAACTGATGGCGTGTTTCTGTCTATTTGAAACTCTATAATCATAGAATCATAGGGCTAGAAGGGACCTTGGAGGACTTCACTTTCATTTCCTTGAAAATGTTTTGCTTCTCATCCGAGAAGCTTCTTTTGTTCTGGCTGAATGGTGGAGAATGGAAGAAACAAAACATCTTCAAGCCAAACAAAGAAAGTCCAGTTGCCTTTTGGACTCCAGCTATGGAGCACCCAAAACTCCAGGAGGCAAGCTGTTCCACTCCCGAAGGTGCCTTTTCAAGAGTCAACTGGACTTTCTTGTTTGTCTTTGAAGACGTTTTGCTTCTCATCCAAGAAGCTTCTTCAGCTCTGGCTGGATGGTGGGGAATGGGAGGATTTATACTCCTTGCAGACAGCTGGTCATTTGCCTTCTTTTAGACCAGTGGTTCTCAACCTGTGGGTCAGGACTCCATTTGGGGTCAAACGACCATTTCATGGGGGTCGCCAAACAAGGCTGTCCGTCATTTTTTCCCACTTTTCTTTGGCCACGCCCCTGGCACCCGGTGATGTATAAGTGGTTGGGGGTCATCACAACATGGGGAACTGTATTATGGGGTCACGGCATTAGAAAGGTTGAGAACCACTGTTTTAGACAGTCCTTGAGGCCACCTGGAGGTTTACCTGTGTCCTCAGGATCACCTGAGTGGTGCAAATGTGTGTGCAGGAGTATGAAAGGATTTCCAAAAAACATTGCAGTCTATAGGAACAATTTGCACTTCAGTTTGAGATAAAAAAAGAAGGCAAATGACCGGCTGTCTGCAAGGAGTATAAATCCTTCCGTTCCCCACCCTCCAGTCAGAGCTGAAGAAGCTTCTTGGATGAGAAGCGAAACGTCTTCAAAGGAAAAACAAGAAAGTCCAATTGCCTCCTGAAAAAGCATCTTTGGGATTGAAGGGTCCTGTAACTGCAACAAAAAGAAATTGTTTAGGCTAACTATTGCTATCTCGCTTCTGTAATCAGCGTTTGTGTCAGGGATAAATTTCATGCAAGTGTGGGAAACATGTACATGGATGGGATGTACTGAAGGAGGGAATAAGGGAGTATATAGGAATTGTGCTGGACCAGCTAGGATTGATGCCTTCCTTATAATCTAATGGCTCTGTTGTCTGCTTTTGATTGGCTAACAAAGTTTATAAAGCAATGCTACTAACTTTCTAAAGTGTGGCACCTCTGGATGTAACTCTGCCACCATTCCAGACTCTTTGCCACACAGCTGTTTTACTTGATCAATTAAAGCACTGTTTCCCCAAGACACCTCTGTTTGAGTTGCCTGATTAGACTTTTAATGGCATCTCAAATTTACGTTAAGTGCCAGTGACCTTACAAGACAACCATGATCTGGATGATGGAGAATCTCCATAGACATTAAGCTGTTCCACTGATTCCACAGTTCTGTCAAGAAATTTCTCCTTAACTCTAGATTTGATCTCTCTTTGATAAGATTCCATCCTTTACTTCTCATCCTGCCCTCAAGGGCTTTGGAGAACAGGTTGACCCTCCCATCTTCTCTCTGACAAACCCTCAAATATTGGAAGATGGCTTATCATGTCACTCCTAAGCCTTGTCTTCATTGGGATAGATCGCTTCTGAGGCTTCAGGAATAATTCCAGGAAAAGATCAGCTTGTCTGCCTCAGCAGAAGTGAAAACATCAAAATATCACATATTTTGATCCTGCAACTAAGATGATCAAAGGCCTGGAGACCAAAACGTACGAAGAACGGCTGCGGAACTTGGGTCTGGCCAGTCTAAAGAAAAGAAGAAATAGGGGAGACATGATAGCATCTTCCAGTATCTGAGGGGCTGCCACAAAGAAGAGGGGCTCAGGTTGTTCACCAGAGAACCAGAGGGAAGGATGAGAAACAATGGTTGGAAACTGATCAAAGAGAGAAGCAACCTGGAATTAAGGAGAAACTTCCTGACAGTGAGGACAATCAACCAGTGGAACAGCTTGCCTCCAGAAATCGTGGCTGCTCCATCACTGGAGGTTTTTAAGGAGAGACTAGACAACCACCTGTCTGAGATGGTATAGGTTCTCCTGCTTCAGCAGGGGGCTGGACTAGAAGACCTCCAAGGTCCCTTCCAGCTCTATTCTATTCTAGTCTAGTCTAGTCTAGTCTGTTCTAGTCTAGTCTAGTCTGGTCTGGTCTGGTCTGGTCTAGTCTAGTCTAGTCCTATTCTGTTCTCTTCTCTTTCTTCTCTTCTCTTCTCTTCTCTTCTCTTCTCTTCTCTTCTCTTCTCTTCTCTTCTCTTCTATTCTATTCTATTCTATTCTATTCTATTCTTTCCACTTAAAATGGAGGATCCAAACTCAGCTTTGAAGATTAAATTATCCCAATCCCCAGGGTCCTCAACAAACAACCATTTGTTTAACGACCATTCAAAGTCACAATTGGCACTGGAAAAAGTGACTTACAACCAGTCCTCACACTCAAGACCATTGCAGCGTCCTCACAGTTACGTGATCAAAATTTGGTTGGTTGGCAACCTGCATATAGTTACAATTGCAGCATCCCGGGATCATGTGATAAATCCTTTGCCACCTTCCCAGATGACTTCAGACCGGCAAAGCCGATTGGGGAAGCTGGATTCATTTAATGACCATCGATTCACTTAAGAACGGCACTGATTCGCTGAACAACTGTGCCCCCCCAAAAGGTCATAAATTCGGGCCTGATTCACTTCATCACTGCCTTGTTTAACAATGGAAATTTTGATCCCAATCCCTATAATGCAGGGAGAAAAATGTAGGGTAGAGTCTGCCAAAAACCTGCTAACTTATTTTGGAAGTAAGTGGGGTCAGAATCAAAAGGGTAGAGTTTATAGCTACAACTATATGCTCTTTTTGGAATATCAGTGAATGAGGGAGCATGTTTTGAGAAAAAGAAGTCTGGGCTGCAAAAAGATCAGCAAAGGCTATGGTCTAAAGCAGGGGTGTCCAACCTTGGCCACTTTAAGACTGTGGACTTCAACTCCCAGAATTCCCCAGCCAGCCATGCGGGCTGGGGAATTCTGGGAGTTGAAGTCCACAAATCTTAAAGTGGGCAACTGGGCCCAAAATTTCAGTTGCTAAGAACGGTGGTTGTTTCGCCTCATTTTACAACCTTTACTGCCACGGTTGCTAAGTGGATCACTGCAGCTGTTAAGTCAGCCACATGGAATCACCGCAGTTCTTAAGTTAGGAACACAGTTGTGAAGTGAATCTGACTTCCCCTTTGACTTGGCTTGTCAGAAGATCGCAAAAGGAGATCATGTGATCCCGGAACGCTGCAACCGTCATAAGTACATGTCAGTTGCCAAGCCTCTGAATTTTGATCACGTGACCATGGAGATGCTGCAATGGCTGTGAAGTGTGAAACTGTCACTAAACAAATTGTTGTAAGTGGAGGACGATCTGTAGAACTTTGTTTCTGCCCAGGCCAATGAGGACTCCTCGCTCTTCTATTAGAGAAGAGGCGCTAACTGTCTCCTTCCGCATTCCGGCATCTTATCTCACTTTTTAATTTTTGTTCTTTCTCGGTGTATTTGGAAGACCATTGAGAATATCAAGGTGTATTTGCACGAAAAAGAGCTATGGAAGAAATTTCACGAAGCTGGGACCGAGATGATTATAACTAAAGCCGGGAGGTAAGCCTGCTTTTGCAACAATCGGTTTCAATGTCTACATCTATTTCAAGTTTTTATTTAGCATGTTTTGTTGCTGACGAGCCTACTTTACAGGGTTGTGGTCAGGGTGCAAAGGGACAGCCTAGCTCAGGGGTAGGCAACCTCGGCTCTTTTATGACTCGTGGACTTCAACTCCCAGAATTCCTGAGCCAGCCATGCTGAGGAGAAATGGAGAGGTTAACATGCTGAGCCATGCTGGCTCTGGAATTCTGGGAGTTGAAGTCCACGAGTCAAAAAGCAGCCTAGGCCTAGGCCAGAGGTAGGCAACCTTGGCTCTTTTATGACTCGTGGACTTCAACTCCCAGAATTCCTGGGCCAGCCATGCTGAGGGGAAAGGGAGAGGTTTCCATGCTGAGCCATGCCGGCTCAGGAATTCTGGGAGTTGAAGTCCACGAGTCATAAAAGAGCCAAGGTTGCCTACCCCTGGGCTAGCTCCTTTTCTGAATTCCTTGGAAGAAAGCTGGGATCAATCGAATCGTCATTCTACTTTTCCTAGTTGAAAATCCGGGTAATTCTCGACTTACAATGCATTCATTAAGTGATCCTTCAAAGTGACAACAACAGTGGAAAAAAAGTGACTTATGATCATTTTCCCCCCTTAACATCATTGCAACGTCCCCGTGGTCACATGATCCAGATCCAGACGCCTGACAACCGGCTCAGTCTTATGATGGTTGCCGTGTCCCGGAGTCATGTGATCAACTTTCGCGACTTTGGGGAACCCAGGTTGACTTAACAGCCACATTACTAACTTAACAAGCGCAATGATTTGCTTACAAACCGTGGCAAGAAAGGTCATAAAATGGGGCGAAACTTAACCTGCCTCACTTAGCAATGGGAATTTCTTGCTCAATTGTGGTCGTAAGTCGAGGACTGCCTATATTTCCCAAAGGTAGAGGGAGAAACTGCTTCCCACCAATTCGTGATGGTGAGACTGTTACAGTTCTTTGCGTTAATTATTCTACCATCATACCTGGCCAAGGTTTCCAGATAGTTCCAGCATCCACATTTTCCAAGTTAATTACCGTTGCAAGCCCAAGCTTTGGTGTCTCTGCTCCTTACGTTGATCCTGAGAAAAAAATCCTGTTTTGGATTTTTTATTTTTTTTAAATTCTGATTTATTATTTTTATAAATAATTCAAGATGGCATAAATATCTAATGCTCCTTCCTCTTCCTAATTTCCTCACAACAACCCTGTGAGGTAAGTTGGGCTGAGATTGGCTCAAAGTAACCCAGCAACTTTCATGCCTAAGATCCAGCTGGCTTTCATGCCTAAGGCGGGATTAGAACTCACAGACGCCTGGTGATTGGCTCAAATTCACCCAGCGACTTTCATGTCTCAGGTAGGACTAGAACTCACCATCTCCTGGTGATTAGCCCAAAGCCATCCTGCTGGCTTTCATACCTAAGGCCAGACTAGAACTCACAGTCTCCTGGTGATTGGCCCAAAGTCACCCAACAGCTTTCATGCCTAAGACGCCACTAGAACTCACCGTCTCCTGGTGATTGGCCCAAAGTCATCCAACTGGCTTTCATGCCTAAAGCGGGATCAGAACTCACAGTCTCCTGGTGATTTGCCCAAAGTCACCCAGTGGCTTTCATACCTAAGACGCCACTAGAACTCACAGTCTCCTGGTGATTGGCCCAAAGTCATCCAACTGGCTTTCATGCCTAAGACGCCACTAGAACTCACCGTCTCCTGGTGATTGGCCCAAAGTCATCCAACTGGCTTTCATGCCTAAAGCGGGATTAGAACTCACAGTCTCCTGGTGACTTGCCCAAAGTCACCCAGTGGCTTTCATACCTAAGAACTCACAGTCTCCTGGTGATTGGCCCAAAGTCACCCAGCTGGTTTTTTTCATTTCCTAAGCTGGAACTAGAACTCACCATCTCCTGGTTTCTAGCCAGGAGACCAAACTGGCTCACACTTCCCTTTTCCCTTTCATCTCCAAAAAAGGTTCCTGGCTCATCCAGGATGACAACACTTTGCAGATTGCCAAGCGAAGAAGGCAAAACAAGTGATGGAAATTCATCAGGAAGATAAGGCAGGAAATAAGGAGCCTTCTTGGGAAGGGTTGAAGAAGACCCAGCTTGGCTGGTTTAAAAGATAGTGGCACGGATCAAAGTGAGGTTGCCTTATACATTAAAAAAAAAACACATAAAAAACCTCCAGTCACCATTGGCCAGCTTAAGCATCACTTTCAAAGCAGAGTAAGAGAATAACAGCAGAAGCATGCTATTCTCATCTGCTGTTTGCACAAGCAGGTCTATAAATTAGCCAGGATTTATTACTAACCTCTTAGTAATAGATGTTACTTACTGAGTCTTAACTCCCTTTTAGACCCAGGGATATATATAAAAAATCAGAACTTGGTACAATAGGCAAGTTTGCCAAGAATGTGTGATTTATAAAGTGGAAACATCTTTAAAATGCTCTCACTATCTTTCCGATGTTTGGCTGTTTTAGTTACAGGAGGAGGGCGGGGGGGGGGAACCAGAGAGATTATTTCATATTAAGATCATCAAAAGATTCTGGGGAAAAAAGGAGTTTATATTAACCAAGTTCCCTGAACTTTGCATAAAACGAGGTGACTCTTTGGCGGATAAAAGACAGAAGAGACCCAGTATACAAGACGGAGAATGTTTCCAAGCATAAATCTACACACTTTTTGAGTTCCAGGATTTTATTATGACTTTATCTTGGCACGCAGAGTAGCTTTTTGGGAATTTTTTATTTATTTATTTGGGAAACAGGCAGTGGGTTAAGGCTCCGAAGCTCCAGGTTTTTTTGCAGACCTTTAAATGATTCTAGGATTGAAAGAACTGGTTAATGTGTGAAAAAGAGCATGGAATAACAATAGCGATCATAATTTTTTAGTATTTCAAGTTCTTCCTGTTGTTTAGCTCTTAAAACCAAACGGATGGAGAGAATCAAAGTTCCATAATTAAATATCAACTTATCAGGGTTTGTCCATTATAGGTAGTCTTCAACTTACAAACATTCGTTTAGTGCAGTGGTTCTCAACCTTTGGGTCGGGACCCCATTTGGGGTCGAACGACCATTTCACGGGGGTCGCCAAACAATGCAGTCCGCCATTTTTTCCCCCTTTTCCTTAGCTGTGCTACTCCCTTTTATTCTATTGGCTTTTGAATGCCAATAGAATAGACTCTCTTGAATAGAGTCTAATTCTATTGGCTTTCAAAAGCCAATAGGAATTGTCCAGGCTTTCTCTGCCCTGCTGAGCCCGCCAAAAGTCCCATTCTGCAAACGGTGCTGCGCCAGTTGAGTAGTAAAAAGGTTGAGAACCACTGGTTTAGTGACTTTTGGAAGTTACAAGGGCACTGAAAAAAGTGACGTATGACTCTTGTTCACACTTACGACCATTACAGCACCTTTGTGATCACGTGATCAGATTTCAGAGGCTTGGCAACTGGCATGTACTTATGACAGTTGCAGAGTCCCAGGGTCACGTGATCCCCTTTGGCGAGCTTCTGATAAGCAAAGTCAACGGGAAAGCCAGAATCACTTAACAACCATGTTACTAATGTAACAAGTGCAGTGATTCACTTCACCGCTGTGGCAAGAAAGATCACAAAATGGGGCAAAACTCCATTTTTAACAACTGCCTCGCTTAGCAATCAAAATTGTGGGTTCAGTTGTGGTCATTAAGTCGAGGACTACCTGCCCGTTGAACCACCTTCTGATCTGCTTTTGGCTTAAGGTAGTTAGACAAGAAGCTATTATTTGTCATTATGGTTTGTGATGGATTTGTAAGCGCCAGATTGCTTTCAGTGTGACTTTTGGTGACTGAATCGAGAATCTGGTTTCATCGTGGGTTTGTTTCATGGATTGGGGTTGAGCCAGCAGATATAAAGATAATAAGCTAGGATGACTTTGCACATTGGCAAGACTAACCCTGATTAAAGCAATCTGGCGAAAGATGGCTTATCAATGAAGGCTTGTAGACAGTTTGCTTAGAAACCCATCTTTTGCAAACCTGGATAATGCCAGTTTTGTCTAATGGAGGCAATAACAGGCTCTCCTTGACTTACCTGGAGTGATTGTTCAACATTACAATAGCATTGGAAAAAGTGGCTTATGACCATTTTTTCACACAACCATCGCAGCATCCCCCGTAGTCACGTGATCAAAATTCAGACACTCGGCAACCGTCTCATATTTATGGCGGTTGCAGGGTACCAGGTCCCCTTTTTGTGACCTTCTGACGAGCAAAGTCAACGGGGAAGCCAGACTCACTTAACAGCTGTGTTACTTTAAAGCAGGGGTCTTCAAACTTGGCCCTTTTATGACTTGTGGACTTCAACTCCCAGAATTCCTCAGCCAGCGTGCCTGGCTGAGGAATTCTGGGAGTTGAAGTTCACAAACCGGGGTCTTCAAACTTGGCCCTTTTATGACTTGTGGACTTCAACTCCCAGAATTCCTCAGCCAGCATGAGGGAACTATGACCCTTTTATGACTTGTGGACTTCAGCTCCCAGAATTCCTGAGCCAGCATGCCTGGCTGAGGAATTCTGGGAATTGAGATTCACAAGCAGGGGTCTTCAAACTTGGCCGTTTTATGACTTGTGGACTTCAACTCTCAGAATTCCTCAGCTAGCATGAGGGAACTATGACCCTTTTATGATTTGTGGACTTCAATTCCCAGAATTCCTCAGCCAGCGTGCCTGGCTGAGGAATTCTGGGAGTTGAAGTTCACAAACCGGGGTCTTCAAACTTGGCCCTTTTATGAGTTGTGGACCAGGTATGCGTGGCTGGCTGAGGAATTCTGGGAGTTGAAGTCCACAAGTCATAAAAGGGCCAAGTTTGAAGACCCCTGCTTTAAACTTAATAACTGCAGCGAGTCATTTAACAATTGTGCCAAGGAAGGTCGTAAAATGGGGGGAAAGTCACTTAACGACTGCCTCGCTTAGCAACAGAAATGTTGGGCTCAATTGGGGTG